AGTTTTCAGGATAAGATACAAAAAAGAGGTGAACATGGGATTCCAAAAGATGGTTACCTTGGGTTGGATAGATATCCATAAGTTTCATGTGGAAATATTAATGTATTTGACTATGTGGTACTATCCAAGACCACTATTCAAGACCACTGCATGTTAAATGTATTAGCCATCTAAAATCAAAAAAATTCTGAATTTCAAAACACATCTGGATACAGTGGTTCCACTTAAAACACTGTCAATCAGTAACGGCCTAGAATGAAAAGGGCAATGAAAATGGAGATAGATTTTGAAGGGAAAATGAAATTTGCAAATTGAACTGGATTTGGGGGTGAAGGAAAGGGAAGAATCAAGGATGATTCCTAGGTTAGCTGGTTGGATGGTACTGTTTTTTATTAAAATGAGGAAGGGGAAAGTAGACTACATAGGTTTAGGAAGGTAATCTAATTGATCTGGGAGCAATAAATATTTAAATCTGTAACAGCTGCAGTTAGATTGAAATTGATGTAATTTCCAGATACCACTGCCTTATCTATTCCTTCCTAGCTGCACTTCTCCAGAAGGTGCCTGTCTATCTCTGACTCATCTTCCTTCTCAGGACATCTCTGCTCCCTAATTCCTGGCCCAGTTGCTCCTTCTTTTCCATACAGATTCTCTTGGTGGGAAATGGGTTCTCCCTAACCCCTTCCACAGTTACCCACTCTGTTGTTCCTACCAGGCTTCTGACACAGAAAGTTTTTGGCAGACTCAATTCACCAAACCTATACTGAGCTCAGAGAGAACACTGGGAACCACGATAGGTGCTGGCCTGGGAGAAAGATCCCTGATAACACGGGGTGATGGAGATGAGAATCTATACAAAATTCAGGAGAATTTTTCCCACATCACTATTTTCTCACCCCAAGTTGTACCGAGCACCCAGTTCTGGCCCTACTGTATGCAGGAACAAGTAGACCACAGAAATCAGGCACACAGAACATTCATCATAAAAGAATGACTTCTGAGGGTCCCAAGCTGGGGTGAGAGGAGCTTGAAGTACAGCCAAGAGTAGCTCCCTTCCCAACAGGGTAAAGTGGGCAGCTCTGGGGCTGGGGGAAGAAGGGAGTGTGTCGAGCAGGACATACACTCACATACCCAAGCAGTCTGGGCCCCATTATTAGAGCAAAATCCACCCACATAGACTCAATATTCTGTCTTAGTACTAAATGCAATGTTACCACGTTGGCATCCTGCTGATGCAAGAGAACCACACATTCAGTAAACAGCTCATCATACTATAGTCCTTTTCTGGCCTCAGGTGAGACTGAGCTCTGTGAAGAAAGCTTTAGAAACTCAATGGCATATTCTAATCATGGCTGGATGCCAACATCACATGATTATTTTTTAACCTGTCCTTTAAAAAGCACATCTTTTCTTAGATAGTGGACATCTGAACTTGAAGGCACAATGGTTCATTTTGGAATTCTGAAATATAAAACAATGTTTTGATAAAAAATTTTAAAAATCCTTTTTCCTAAAATAGGTTGTTAAAAAAGACAACTGGTCCCAGATGGGCTCACTGGTGAATTCTATCACACATTTAAGGGAGAAATTATACGAATTCTCTTCAATCTCTTCCAGAAGATAAAAGCAGAGGGAATACTTCCTAACTCATTCTAAGAGACCAGCATTACCCTAATACCAAAAGCAGACAAAGACATTACAGACATTACAAGAAAAGAACGTGTGTTTTTTCATGAACACATGCAAAAATCCTCAACAAAATATTAGCAAATTGAATCCAACAATGTATAAAAAGAATTTATACACCACGAATAAGTGGGATTTATTCCAGGCATGCAAAACTGGTTCAACATTTGAAAATCAATTAATGTAATCCATCATATCCACAGGTTAAAGAGGAAAAGTCACATAATCATATCAATAGATGCAGAAAAAGCATTTGACAAAATCCAACACCCATTCATGATAAAAACTCGTAGCAAACTAGGACTAGAGAGGAACTTCCACAACTTGATAAAGAACATCTACAAAAAAGCTACAGCTAACCTCATACCAAGTGATAAACTTGAAACTTTCCCACTAAGATCAGCAACAAAGCAAAGATGTCCCCTCTCACCAATCCTTTTCAACATCATACTGCAAGTTCTAGCTAATGCAGTAAGACAAAGGAAATAAAAGGCATATAGATTGAGAAGGAAGAAATAAAACTGTCTTTGACTGCAGATGATATGATTGTCTATGTAGAAAATCCAAAGGAATCACCCCAAACTCCTGAAACTAGTAAGCCATTATAGCAAGGTTGCAGGATACACAGTTAACATAGAGAAGTCAATTGCTTTGTTAATACTGGTAATGAACAAGTGGAATTGGAAATTTAAAACATAATACCATTTACGTTAGCACCCACAAAAATGAAATACTTGGTATAAGTCTAATAAAATATGTACAAGATCGATATGAGGAAAACTACAAAACTCTGATTAAAGAAATCAAAGAAGAATTAAACAAAAAGAGATATTTCATGTTCATGGATAGGAAGCCTTAATATTGTCAAAATGTCAATTCTTCCCAACTTGATCTATAGATTTAACACAATCCCAATCAAAATTCCAGCAAGTTATTTTGTGGATCTTGACAAACTGACTCTAAAGTTTAAATGGAGAGGCAGAAGACCCAGAAGAGCCAAGACAGTACTGAAGGAGATTACAAGGTCAGAGGACTGACACTACCCAACTTACCGTAACACTACAGTAATCAAGACAGTGTATTGGCAAGAGTAGACAAAGAGATCAATGGACAGAATAGAGAGCCCAGAAATAGACCCATACAGACATAGTTAACTGATCTCTGATAAAGGAGCAAAGGCAACGCAATGGAGAAAAGATAGTCTTTTCAACAAATGGAGCTGGAACAACAGGATATCCATATGTTAAAATATATATATATATATATATATATATATATATATATATATCTTTTGCAAAAATTAAAGTAAAATGAATCATGGATCTAAATGTAAAATGCAAAATTATAAAACTTACAGAGGATAACATAGGAGAAAATCTAGATGACTTTGGCTTGGTGATGACATTTTAGATACAACTTTGAAGACATGATCCATGAAAGAAGTAATCAGGAAGCTGGACTTCACTAAAATGACAAACTTCTGCTCTGTGAAAGACACTGTCAAGAGAATGAGAAGACAAGCCATAGACTGGTAGGAACTATTTGCAAAAGACTTATAAAGGACTGTGATCCCAACTACACAGAGAAGACTTAAAACTCAACAATAAGAAAATGAACAACCCAATTTAAAAATGGGCAAAAAAGGGGGTTGGCCCAGTAGTGTAGTAGTTAAGTTCCTGTGCTCTGCTTCAGCAGCCCAGGGTTCACAGGTTGAGATTTCAGGTACAGACCTACACACCACTCATCAAGTAATGCTCTGGTGGCATCCCACAGACAAAATAGAGGAAGATTGGCACAGATGTTAGCTCAGGGCCAGTCTTCCTCAGCAAAAAGAGGTGGACTGGCAGCAGATGTTAGCTCAGGGCTAATCTTCCTCAAAAAATAAAAAAAAAAAAAACCATGAGATACTACTACACACCTATTATAATGGTTAAAACCTAATACACTGACAACACCAAGTGCTGGGCAAGGATGTAAAGTAACAGGAACTCTCACTCATTGTGGGAAGGCAAAGTGGTACAGCCACTTTGGAAGACAGTTTGGCAGTTTCTTACAAAACTAAACATACTATAAGATCCAGCAGTCATGCTCCTCTGTATTTACCCAAATAAGCTGAAAACTTATGTCCACACAAAAGTCTGCACACAGATGTTTCTGGCAGCTTTATTCATAATTGTCAAATCTTGGAAGCAATCAAGTCGTCTTTCAGTAGGTGAATGGATAAACTGTGGTTCATCAGTCAATGGAATGTTAGCGAAAAAATATGATCAAGCCATGAAAAAACATGGTGGAACCCTAAATACATATTACCGAGAGAAGCAAATCCGAAAAGGCTGTATTATTCCAACTGTATTACATTTTAGAAAAGGCAAAACTGTGGACAGTTAAAGGATCAGCAGTTGCCAAGGGCTAGTTAGGTGATAGGAGTGAACAGGTAGAGCAGAGGATTTCTAGGGCAGTGAAACTACTCTGTATGACACTAGAATGGTGAATACACATCATTATACATTTGTCAAAATTCACAGAATGTATAACACGAAGAGTGAACCCAATGTAAACTATGGGCTTTGGGTGATAATGACGTGTTGGTTCATTGATTGTAACATATGTACCACTCTAGTGGGGGATGTTGATAGTAGGGGAGACGGGGGGGGGGGGGGGGGGGCGGAGGCAGAGGTATACGGGAACTCTGTATCTTCCACTCAATTTAGCTGTGAACCTAAAACATTTCTAAAAAATAATCTGAAAAAAAAAAAGGTTGCCTGGGGAAGGGGGAGGAAATGGATGTGAGTGTGGAGGATGGCACATAAAAGGGAATAATAAATTAAGGAAAGGGATCTTGCACTCGACCAATGACAATGAAATGTCATGCAGCGAAGAGTATGTTTACCACAACGCTCTGAGAGAAAGAAAGAATGTATGCGTATGTGCTCTGTAATCACAAATTATATCAGATTTAACATTGGGTTATTGGTTGTATTTTGCCCCAGTATACATTGATTCTAACCTCACTTGTTCACCACATTTTGAACATAACCCCTTATGACTAAGAAGTAATCCCCTAAAATAAGGTGAAAGCTAGAATCTGGTCAATTTTTTCTGCACCACATCCCCACAAGAGGAATTTGTTTAATACCTCTCGACAGCTTAGTATTCCTTTTTTTAACACGAAAATACCTACCGTCCTCTGTATAAATACACTGGAATTGAGGTCTAGGGATGTTCTTTTCCCAGCCTTATTTCCTCACACTTGCTGAGACTCGTTAGGGGGCAACAACTATTATTTACTTTGCCCTTCCACTTATCACATCTAGGAGGGGCAGCGGACTGCGGTTGTTGGATTGTCAGCTCCACTTCCTATTTGATTTCCACTAACTGACATTCCAAAGAGCGCTGGAGGAAGAAGCTCAAAGTCTGTTCTGGGATTTTCCAGGGCAGGGTACTTCATCGTAACAAAACCGAGACGCAAATCCTAACGGCTTGCAAGTTTCCTCCAGGAAGGATGATTCTAACTGAAGATTAAGTCCACCTCTTGCACGCTTCGAGAAACGCCCAGGAGTTAGGAAATGCATCTCCGTGGTCTCCCCATCCTAGAGGGCTCGCCTCAGAGACGTCGGCACCAGCAGTTCAGGAGACCACGCATCGTTTTTAAATCCCAACACTCCCTATTTCTCCACCGCGGCGCCAGGCGGCGCAGCAGGGCGGTAGGAACACTGCGCGTGCGCAGCGGGCGGACGGTTGCGGAGACAGTGTCGCCGGTCACCTTCTGTTTCCCTGGGCAGCATGAAGACCGGCGAGGACGCCAGAGGAGAGGGCAGTACGGGGCCGCAGAAGCTAGGACTCTGCGTCCTCTGCGGCCTGCCCGCAGCAGGAAAATCGACCTTCGCACGGGCCCTCAGCCACCGGCTACAGCAAGAGCGAGGCTGGGCCGTGTGCGTCGTCGCCTATGATGACGTCATGCCAGACGCGTTCCTCCGGGAGGCGAGCGCACGGCCATTGGTCAGTACGGAGGGCGCGGGGCCTAGGCTGAAGGCGCAGAAGGAAATGTACACGCTCCGCTCTAGGCTAGGCGTTACCTGCTGTGAGAGGTGGAACCCTGGTACAACCCCAGGCAGGAATGCGGGGAAAGTGGAGTTGGGTTAACATAGAATGAGTTGACTCCATCATAGACTAATTCACTGAGAGGTATATATATATATATTTAGGGCATATATGTATTGTATATTCTATACAGTGGAGTCCTAAGACTGGGTTAAGTTCTGAAGGCAGAGTGTAACGTGGAAATCCCCTGTAGTCAGATATACTCTTGAAAATCCTTTGGGAAGGTTGTTTTTAGGAGGGGGACAGAATCTCTCTAAAATTCCAACGCAGCCAGTTTAACATCCAGCCACGGGTGAATCCAGGTTTTGTGGGACTTGAAGTTTATACACTTTGGAGAACCCTTTTTAAGGAAAAGAATACAGGATTATAAGTAACAAAATTGCTAGGGCCCGTCCCACAGTGATAGAAAGAGGCTGTATAAATGAAGAGCCTGGCGGCCGAAGCTCCATTCAGGGTAAACCTGCCTCTGCCGGCATAGGAAAAGATGGCTGTTTCTTAGTTGACCACCAGATGAAGTAATGGGCTTGTATTTAGGGACCAGCTTGTATGTTCCAAGTACATACATTTCTTTAAGGCCTCAAGTCCTACTTGGCACAGTGAGATGCCTCCCCTTGGAGAAGCAAATGAAAACTGAGACCTCTGAGGGAAGAGTAGAATCTTGTCTCCCATGTCCTGCTCACTCTAGAGCAAATACTCTTTGATTGGAATATTTTAAAAATGTTAAATAGTTATTTTTGTCGTTTAGTGCCGAGTGTAGATGAATTCATACAGATAAAATGCAAATATGTGATTCCACTCTATAAGTATATATGTGCAATCGTATAGTACATTTGGTATATAGAGAAATTTTGGACCACTCCAGCAAAACTATATGCTTCCTTATTCTTAGTTAATTCTGAGGTAAATACAGGATCAGGCCGCTGAAACCACTGGATTTACTTGGATGCTAGTATTTCCACCACTCTGGAGAAAGCTGAAAGTTGTTGACAAAGGTTGTTGTATTTGCTGGGCTTTTCCCTCACTTTTATTATTATATTTTTTCCACTCTCCTCCTACAGACAAAGGCCGTGGGATTCATCTAGTCACCATGGGTGGGATGGCTCACTTTTTAGGAAGTGATCTGTGTTTCCTTTTTAGTGGGTTTAGCTGATGTGTTTGTTTTATGTGCTGTAATCTCAGTGATGTGGTAAGGCATGGACAGGCAGGAGAGGGACCCTGATCTGTCCTTGTGTTTTCCCTCCAGCCTTGACGTCATAACTGTGTCGGTGCTCTCCATGGCACCTGAGCAGCACAAGATTACTTGTATTCTCAAGCTATTTATTTTGTTTCCCTCAGTCTGCTTCCTCTATCTTTCCCTATCCCATTCCAACCCTGTTATTATACTGAGGTCTTTTCATCTTGACCCATAGACCTTTCAGCTGATTCTCTTTCTGTCCACAACTTTTCTCATTTCCAGGGCAAACGAGCCTATATCTTTGCCAGATTTTATTTTGGCTGGGTATTTATTCTGGCTCCTTTCTCCTGGTTGATAACAGCTTTTTATTCTTTCATTTATTCACTCATTTAATATACATTTCTGGAGCACCATTAGGTGCCAGACCCTCTGCTGGAGGCTGAGTATACAGTAGACTGTTGATCTAGCAGGGACATAGAGGTGTGCCAATAAATGCCTAAACAGTGTAAACTCTGCCAGAGTAGCGACCCAGTATGTGCAGAATAGGGTGTCATGATAGGCAAGGGAGGGTCTGAGCTGCCTTCTGCATGGTTGAGTGTGAGAAGACTTCACAGAGAACTAACATCATTGTTTAGGAGTTTCGCAGGCAGAGAGAACAGTATATGAAGACATGGAGGCATGAGAAAACAAGTTGTGTTTAGAGAACTCCAAATAGGTCAGTATTGTGGGCTCAGATTTTTATATGAGGCAGGGTGGCAATGAGCCATGACCACCCGACTGTCCAAAGCCTAATTTAAGTTGCAATTCTTGGTCTTTTGTAGCCATCCCAGTGGAAATTGCTTCGACAGGAACTCTTGAAGTACCTAGAATACTTCCTGATGGCTGTCATTAACGGGTGTCAGATGTCTGCCCCTCCCGACAGAACTGAAGCCATGTGGGAAGATTTTATAACCTGCTTAAAGGATCAAAATCTGATATCTTCTGCAGCGTGTGAGGCCCAGTCTTGCTACCTCTTAACAAAGACTGCTGTTTCTGGACCTTTGTTTTTGATTTTAGATGACAACTTTTATTATCAAAGTATGAGATATGAAGTCTACCAACTGGCTCGGAAATGTAATTAAATGTTTGTTTCTTACTCACAGGGATATTTATTCGCATATCAAAATCACTACTCTCTTTAGTGAGAATTTGATTGGATTTGGAGGTTTATATGGATTTACTTAATTTTCAAAGCTAGATTTCATGTTATAAATGGTTTTTCCTGCTGTAGCTGGGGTAATTTATCTAATATGTTTATTTCACATTTTGGAAAAATAGTCCACCAGTAATTTTGTGGTTTCAAATTGTTTTCAGATTCATTAGGCTTTTGCCAGGTGTTTTTAGATTGTTCTCTTGAGACCTGTTTACAGAGGAATGGCCAGAGACCACAGGCACTGCCTGCCGAGACCATCCACCTGATGGAAAGAAAGATAGAAAAGCCCAACCCTGAGAAAAATGCTTGGGAACACAACAGCCTCACCATTCAGAGTCCAGCATGTTCTCCTGAAGCCAGGTATCCTACTCAAAGCCGTCCTTCACTGGGGGCCTCCCTGAGCCAGGCACTGTGCTAAATGCTTTACTTGTATCCACGTGGTTAGTCCTTACACAAGCCTTGGAGAGAGATTATTTTCCCCTTTGTGTCAAAGAGGCAACAGTGAGAACTGAGTTTAGTTTGCCCAGAGTCACCGAGCTTGTGACAGCTGAGATGTGAACCCAGGTTGGTTTACAAACATGTACTCTTGTTAAGATTAGACTCTCCCAGAGGTCAGAGCAAGGGGACTCAGAGGGGGACATGTCTTTATACTCTTGCTAAAGTAGCATAGTCTGAGTAGTTGCCCAGGAATTTCCTTATAGAAAGAAAAAGAATGGAACGGGTACCGCATCCTAATTTTGCCTTGAACCTTGCTGGAGTCACACTGCCATGTATATGTGAGGCTTGAGGGCTGTGGCACTAAGGCCTTCATTCATGATACATGTCTGGAGAGTTCTAGAGCAGCACATTTCTTTTTTTTTTTTTTTATTGAGTTAATGATAGGTTACAATCTTGTGAAATTTCAGTTGTACGTTAATGTTTGTCAGTCATGTTGTAGGTGCACCACTTCACCCTTTGTGCCCACCCCCCACCCCACCTTTCCCCTGGTATCCACTAGACTCCTCTTAGTCCATAATTTTAAATTCCTCATATGAGTGGAGTCATACACAGATTATCCTTCTCTCGCTGGCTTATTTCACTTAACATAATTCCCTCAAGGTCCATCCATGTTATTGCAAATGGAATGATTTTGTTGTGTTTTACAGCTGAGTAGTATTCCATTGTATATATGTACCACATCTTCTTTATCCATTCGTCTGTTGCTGGGCACTTAGGTTGCTTCCATGTCTTGGCTATTGTAAATAATGCTAGAGCAGGACATTTCTAATAGAAATTTCACTGATGATGGAAATATTCTGTATTTACACTGTCCAATATGGTAGCTGTTAGCCACATGTGACCACTGAGCACTTGAAATACAGCCAGTACAACTGAGAACCTGAATTTTAAATTTTATTTTAGTTACTTTAAACTAAAGTAGCCTCATGTGGCTAGTGGCTATTATCAGACAGCACAGTTCCAGAGATGTATTGCCCGCATTACCTCAGCTCCTGCCTAACCATTGTCCGTAGGGGATCAGCAGTTTTTAAAAGGCTAGTTTTTAAAGCTCATTCCTCAAAATGTTTAGTTCCAAGGATACAGTTTCCATGCATTTTATAATATGTACTTTAATATGCTAACAAAAGAAGCAAAACCCAAAATTGGATTTATGTGACTATTGTTATAGAGTTTATGAAATAAGCGCCTGCTGAGGTTTCTAGTTTTATCTTGTCATAGTATCCTGAACTTTAAGCAGGCACTTAACCAGCTGATTGCTCCTTATTCTGGAATACTTAAAAGTTTCTCCTTTGGAAGTGAGTGGCTGGCTGAGGCGCTGAGAGCGGCATAAGGTCATCATCAATGCTCTGAGACCAGTGAGGCCAGTTCTCGCTAGAAGCAAGGAGGAGGATGCGCTTCCCTAGGGCCAGTGCCAACCCTTAGCATCATCTCAGTGTCATCTCGGGTCTTCAGAACCTGGTCACCTGTTCTCACATATCCAGAATAGTCACAGCCTGACTGTGAAGGGATTGTTTGAAGTCTGGTGGCCCTGTGTTGGAAGTTGAAAGATGACCTGACCAATGTCCCTTTCCCAGGCTTCTCTGAAATACTACTGCTACTAGCAGCAACAGCTCTTGAGCACATACCACCTACTGGGAGTGTTCTGAACACTTTATCTGTATAATCTCATTCAATCCTCGCAACAGCCCTTGAGGGTAAATATAATTATTCCCATTTTCTAGATGGGATAACCAAGGCCCACATAAGTAAAGTCGCACATTCAGGTAGTAAGTGGCAGAGCCAAGGTTTGGGCCCAGTGCGAGTTCACTCATTCCAGAACCTGGGCTCTTTTCATTGTGAGAAAGATCATCTTGAGGTAGAGAGGAACTCAGTGAGTTCACTGCCTAAATTTCTTCAGTGCTACCCTCTGTATTCTGAGTAAAATTTGAACTCTTTACCATAACGTACATGTTCTAACCCTGATTAACTCCCCAAGCTCATGTCCTACCACTTTCCCCCTTGCTGTCTTTCAACCAAGCTGGCCTTCTCTGTTCCATGAACACAAGAAGCCTGTTCTTGCCTAAGGCCTTTGCAGTTGTGTCCGCTCTACCCTTCCCCCATGGTTACGCTCCACTGGCTTCCCTGCCCACCGTGACAAACACGAAGAATGTTAGTTGGACTACCCCGTCACTCGATCATCATCACTTTGTTTACTGTCTTCACTCCCTTGTCTACTTGGCACTATCGGGAATTATTATTTTCTGCTTATTTCATTAATTTACTTTCTGTCTCTCTCTATTACATTATCAGGCTTAGAGAGGGTAGGGATCTTGCTATACCCTGAGCTTAGCACGTTGTGTCACTTATAACTATACAGTATTTTTCATGTAAGAAGATGCTCAAGGGGCCAGCCTGGTGGCGTAGTGGTTAAGTTCACATGCTCTGCTTCAGTGGCCTGGGGTTCATGGGTTCGGATCCCAGGCGCAGACTAACACACCCCTCATCAAGCCATGCTGTGGTGGTGTCCCACATGCAAAATAGAGGAGGATTGGCACAGATGTTAGCTTGGCAACGATCTTCCTCAAGCAGAAAGAGTAAGATTGGCAATGGATGTTAGCTCAGGGCCAATCTTCCTCACCAAAAAAAAAGATGCTCAATAGATATTTGTTGAATGAATGAATGAATTCCACCCTCCATGGCCCCTTGACCAGTGAGGAACTTTGCTAATCCACGTCCAGTAAATAAGCAGAAACCAGAAAATACAGACTGAGCATCCTACTTTAGGGAATAAAGTAGAGTTCTTGTAGCCTGAAGTTCAGCACTTAATGAGGGAAAAGAGAGAATGTCTTCTCAAAGCTTAGGGATATGAGTCTTAGGAAAGTAATATTTTTTAAATGAGGGAATTTTTTGGCTTATAATTTGAGCTTCTACATTTGGATTTTGCAAGTAGAAAGTAGCTTCCAAATCATTTCTTTTTCCCCCTTTTGTTTAGGGTCTTGGATTATAGCACTTTTATTCCTCTGGAATTCAATTTAGTATTCATAAACACAAGTTCTTTAAAAACAGATGTTTGATATAAGGATTTATTTTATTTCACCTTCTCTTATAGCCTGAAGTTGACTGATTTATTGCTTACTGCTTTGGAAAATCCAGTGAAATGTGTGGAGGACAATGTGGAACAAAAGGTAAGTCTTCCGTTATAGCTTTAGTATAAATGAGAAGGAACAACTTTTTGAGCTGAGTGTAAAATATCAGTAATGTGAAAAATGCTTTGTCCCTGCCTGGGCATCTCAGCAGCATTCGGCTTCTGACACCTGGATGCAGGGTGCACTGGTGGCAGCTTGCACTGGCTGGTCAAAGCCAATTGTTAAATTTTCAGAAATGTGGGAGCCTGGTGACAGTATGTTGGTAGCTTGAAATGGGCAAGATGGGAATATTTACTTCACAGAAATTGACAAACGCTAAAGATAAGTTCTTGTTTTTTTTCCTGGAGAACCCATTATGAGACATTTATCAGCACACCTCTACCTAAATGGAACCCAGTTTATAACTGGATGTATTTCTTTTAGACCCTCTCCTAGGGAAGAATGACTGGAACAGAAAAGCCACTTTAACTTTTCTTTTAGTCTCTTCAAATATGCATCGCCTACACTTTAGCCATTTCTCTTATAAAACTGTAACTTCCAATAACAATGTCTGTGTTACATAGGAAACAGACAGAATTACTTGTTCAACTAACATTCTTCATCAAGCTGATCAGACACTCCGAAGAATCGTCTCTCAGACGATGAAGGAAGCGAAAGGTACGCTGGGCACTTACAGGCCGGGTAGTCGGCCGGACTCTGCTGCTTCTCCTGTTTCCTGGACACTTGGGTGGGTTCTTAGCTTTCAGTCATAGAGTTTATATCATGTTTTCAGTCTAATATGCAACTCGGTTATAGAAAACTAAAAATTCTACCCCTGGAACTGGGTATTCATCCATCCAGTAGCTTTTTATTGAGTGGCTACTCTGGACTAGGCCTTATTCTAGACACTGAGGAGTCAGGAGGGAGCAGCACATGATAGTGAGGAGACAGACAAAAACACAAATATATGACCGTCTGCCAGTGCTCTGAAGAAAAGTAAGGTAGGGTGAGGCCGTGGAGAGTGATGGGAGGACTTATTTTTAAAAGGGGAATCAGGAAGGCTTCTCAGAGGAGATGACATTTGAGCTGGGATGTGAATGAAAGGAAGGAGCAAGCCCTGCAGAGGGAGATCATTCCAGGCGGTGGACACAACAAGTGCGGACGCCCAGAGGTAAAGTTGTTTGGTAAGTTCTAGAACAGAAAAGAGGCCATTGAGTCTGGGGTGAAGTAAGGAACAGGGAGACGTAGTCAGGGCCAGATGTAAGAGCAGCATGGACTTTGAGCAAGCTCTGTATCGTCAGTCTGAACTTAGATGAAATATGGGGTAACTGTGGGTTTATAACATAATTCCTTTAGGTTTTAAATATTGAACTCTGCTATATTTAAATTTTTATTTAAAACATAGCAGCTGCTTAACAGTTCTTTTTTTTTAAAAGATTTTATTTTTCCCTTTTTCTCCCTAAAGCCCCCTGGTATAGAGCTGTATATTTTTAGTTGTGGGTCCTTCTAACTGTGGCATGTGGGATGCCGCCTCAGCATGGCCTGATGAGCGGAGCCATGTCCGTGCCCAGGATCTGAACCGGTGTAACCCTGGGCTGCCAAAGTGGAGCGTGAGAACTTAACCACTCGGCCACAGGGCCGGCCCCAACATTTCTTTTTTTTTTTTTTTTTTTTTTTTTTTATTAATGTTATGATAGATTACAACCTTGTGAGATTTCAGTTGTGCATTTTTGTTAGTCATGTTGTGGGTACACCACTTCCCCCTCCGTACCCTCCCCCCACCCCCCCTTTTCCCTGGTAACCACCAATCAGATCTCCTTCTCAATATACTAATTTCCACCTATGAGTGGAGTCATATAGAGTTCGTCTTTCTCTGACTGACTTATTTCGCTTAACATAATACCCTCGAGGTCCATCCACATAGTTGTGAATGGGCCAATTTCGTCTTTTTTTATGGCTGAGTAGTATTCCATTGTGTATATATACCACATCTTCTTTATCCAATCATTAGTTTCTGGGCATGTAGGCTGGTTCCACGTCTTGGCTATTGTAAATAATGCTGCAATGAACATAGGGGTGCAACGGACTCTTGAGATATCTGATATCAGGTTCTTAGGATAGATACCCAGTAATGGGATGGCTGGGTCATAGGGGATTTCTATTTTTAACTTTTTGAGAAATCTCCATACTGTTTTCCATAGTGGCTGTACCAGTTTGCATTCCCACCAACAGTGTATGAGGGTTCCTCTTTCTCCACAACCCCTCCAACATTTGTCGTTCTTGGTTTTGGATGTTTTTGCCAATCTAACGGGGGTAAGGTGATATCTTAGTGTAGTTTTGATTTGCATTTCCCTGATGATTAGCGATGATGAACATCTTTTCATGTGTCTATTGGCCATATTCATATCTTCTTTTGAGAAATGTCTGTTCATGTCCTCTGCCCATTTTTTGATCGGGTTGTTTGTTTTTTTGTTGTTAAGCAGTGTGAGTTCTTTGTATATTATGGAGATTAACCCTTTGTCGGATAAGTGGCTTGTAAATATTTTTTCCCAATTAGTGAGCTGTTTTTTTGTTTCAATCCTGTTTTCCCTTGCCTTGAAGAAGCTCTTTAGTCTGATGAAGTCCCATTTGTTTATTCTTTCTATTGTTTCCCTCAACTGAGGAGTTACAGTGTCCGAAAAGATTCTTTTGAAACTGATGTCAAAGAGTGTACTGCCTATATTCTCTTCCAAAAGACTTATTGTCTCAGGCCTAATCTTTAGGTCTTTGATCCATTTTGAGTTTATTTTGGTGTGTGGAGAAAAAGAATGGTCAATTTTCAATCTTTTGCATGTGGCTGTCCAGTTTTCCCAGCACCATTTGTTGAAGAGACTTTCTTTTCTCCATTGTAGGCCCTCTGCTCCTTTGTCGAAGATTAGCTGTCCATAGATGTGTGGTTTTATCTCTGGGCTTTCAATTCTGTTCCATTGATCTGTGGACCTGTTTTTGTACCAGTACCATGCTGTTTTGATCACTGTAGCTTTGTAGTATGTTTTGAAATCGGGGATTGTGATTCCGCCGGCTTTGTTTTTCTTGCTCAGGATTGCTTTAGCAATTCGCGGTCTTTTGTTGCCCCATATGAATTTTAGGATTGTTTGTTCAATTTCTGTGAAGAATGTTCTTGGGATTCTGATTGGGATAGCATTGAATCTGTATATTGCTTTAGGTAGTATGGACATTTTAACTATGTTTATTCTTCCGATCCATGTGCAAGGGATGTCTTTCCATCTCTTTATGTCATCGCCTATTTCTTTCAAGAGAGTCTTGTAGTTTTCATTGTATAGATCCTTCACTTCCTTGGTTAAGTTTATCCCAAGGTATTTTATTCTTTTCGTTGCGATTGTGAATGGGATAGAGTTCTTGAGTTCTTTTTCTGTTAGTTTATTGTTAGTGTATAGAAATGCTACTGATTTATGCACGTTAATTTTATACCCTGCTACTTTGCTGTAGTTGTTGATTATTTCTAATAGTTTTTCTGTGGATTCTTTGGGGTTTTCTATGTATAAGATCATGTCGTCTGCAAACAACGAGAGTTTTACTTCTTCGTTACCTATTTGGATTCCTTTTATTTCTTTTTCCTGCCGAATTGCTCTGGCCAGCACCTCCAGAACTATGTTGAATAGGAGTGGTGAAAGTGGGCACCCTTGTCTTGTTCCTGTCCTCAGAGGGATGGCTTTCAGCTTTTGTCCATTGAGTATGATGTTGGCTGTGGGTCTATCATATATGGCCTTTATTATGTTGAGGTACTTTCCTTCTATACCCATTTTACTGAGGGTTTTTATCATAAATGGGTGTTGGATCTTGTCGAATGCTTTCTCTGCATCTATTGAGATGATCATGTGGTTTTTGGTTTTCATTTTGTTAATGTAGTGTATCACGTTGATTGACTTGCGGATGTTGAACCATCCCTGTGTCCCTGGTATAAATCCCACTTGATCATGGTGTATAATCTTTTTGATGTATTGCTGTAATCGGTTTGCCAAAATTTTGTTGAGGATTTTTGCATCTATGTTCATCAGTGATATCGGCCTGTAGTTCTCCTTCTTTGTGTTGTCCTTGTCAGGTTTGGGGATCAGAGTGATGTTGGCTTCATAGAATGTGTTAGGGAGTTCTCCATCTTTCTCAATTTTCTGGAACAGTTTGAGGAGAATAGGTATTAAGTCTTCTTTGAATGTTTGGTAGAATTCTCCAGAGAAGCCGTCTGGTCCTGGACTCTTGTTTTTGGGGAGGTTTTTGATTACCGTTTCTATTTCCTTACTTGTGATTGGTCTATTCAGATTCTCCATTTCTTCCTGATTCAGTTTGGGGAGATTGTAGGAGTCTAGGAATTTGTCCATTTCTTCCAGGTTGTTCAATTTGTTGGCATATAGTTTTTCATAGTATTCTCTTATGATCTCTTGTATTTCATTGGTATCTGTTGTGATTTCTCCTCTGTCATTCCTGATTTTATTAATTTGCGATTTCTCTCTTCTTTTCTTGGTGAGTCTGGCTAGGGGTTTGTCAATTTTGTTAATTCTTTCGAAGAACCAACTCTTTGTTTCATTGATCCTTTCTATTGTCTTTTTTGTTTCAATATCGTTTATTTCTGCTCTTATTTTTATTATTTCCCTCCTTCTACTGACTCTGGGCCTTGTTTGTTCTTCTTTTTCTAGTTCTGTTAGGTGTCGTTTGAGGTTGCTTACGTGAGCTTTTTCTTGTTTAGTGAGGTGAGCCTGTATTGCGATGAATTTCCCTCTTAGGACTGCTTTTGCTGCATCCCAAATGATTTGGTATGTCGTGTTCTCATTTTCATTTGTCTCCAGATAATATTTGATTTCTTCTTTAATTTCTTCAATGATCCATTGTTTGTTGAGAAGCGTGTTGTTTAGTCTCCACATTTTTGCACCTTTCTCTGCTTTTTTCTTGTAGTTGATTTCTAGTTTAATAGCGTTATGATCAGAAAAGATGCTTGATATTATTTCAACTCTCTTGTATTTATTGATGTTTGCTTTGGTTCCCAAAATATGGTCAATCCTTGAGAATGTTCCATGTGCACTTGAGAAGAATGTGTAACCTGCTGTTTTTGGATGAAGTGTTCTATATATATCTATTAAGTCCATCTGGTCTAATTTTTCATTTAATTCTATTATTTCCTTGTTGATTTTCTGTCTGGATGTTCTGTCCATTGGTGTTAATGGTGTGTTGAGGTCCCCTACTATTATTGTATTGTTGTTGATGTCTTCTTTTAGTTCTATTAAGAGTTGCTTTACAAATTTTGGTGCTCCTGTGTTGGGTGCGTATATATTTATAAGTGTTATGTCTTCTTGGTGGAGAGTCCCTTTTATCATTATATACTGTCCCTCTTTGTCTTTCTTTATCTGTTTTGCTTTGAAATCTACCTTGTCTGATATTAGTATAGCGACACCTGCTTTCTTTTGTTCATTATTAGCTTGGAGTATTGTTCTCCATCCCTTCACTCTGAGTCTGTGTTTGTCTTTGGGGCTGAGGTGTGTTTCCTGGAGGCAGCATATTGTTGGATCTTGTTCTTTGATCCATCCTGCCACTCTGTGTCTTTTGATTGGGGAGTTCAATCCGTTTACATTTAGAGTGATTATTGAGACGTGGTGGCCTACCACTACCATTTTGTGTCTTGTTTTCCGGTTTTCTTCAGTTTCCTTTGTTTCTCGTCCCATGGTTTAATCTGTTCTGATGTAGAGCTGCTACTCTCTGTTGTTGTCCTTCTACTTATCTCCTCTGCTCTTGGTTTTGTAGTCCCTTTCCTTTTTTGGATTTTTCAGGAATGAGGGTTTTCCTGAGGATTTCCTGAAGAGGAGGTTTTGTGGCAATGAACTCCCTTAATTTTTGTTTATCTGGGAAAGTTTTTATTTCTCCATCGTATTTGAAGGATATTTTCGCTGGGTAGAGAATTCTCGGCTGTAGGTTTTTGTCCTTCAGATTTTTGAATATATCATTCCACTCTCTTCTAGCCTGTAAAGTTTCTGCTGAGAAATCTGCTGATAGTCTGATGGGGGTTCCTTTGTAGGTTAGTTTCTTTTGCCTGGCTGTCCTTAATATTTTCTCCTTGTCGTTGACTTTTGCTAGCTTCACTACTATATGCCGTGGAGTTGGTCTTCTTGCATTGATAAAGTTTGGAGATCTATTGGCT